GGGGGTGTTTATATACCTAAAACATGGATCCCCTCCTCTTGGCCCCAGAGTATGATGGGATTGAGTGATGAGATTACTAGTATAGTATGATGGTATTAGGCTGAAAATGTGAGATAAATTGCGTTTTTGTTTGTGCACTAGTGTGGTGATAATAGTTGGTTGGGATTAAATTTAAGAAATAATTAAAAGCCCTCATTATATAAAAGGTGGTTTGTTAATTTTGTAAAGTGGGGGACAAAATAGTATTTTCACCTCTAATCCCAAACCCTCCATGAGAATGTTAGTCCCATCATGTGGAGGGATTCATAGTCCCATCCCATGCTATTTTTTCCAACCAAACGTTATTTATGTGGGATCCACTGGATTACTAATCCAATCCCCTCACTCATCTATGGAGCTAAACAAACACGGCCATTTTCTCGTGTTGTGGTTCTTGGAGATTTTTCCCATATCCTTTTTTTAAGGGATTTTTTGTGTTTGAATTTGAATGTTAGTTGTTGTGATCTTAGGTTGCTAATTTAGATGTGAATCCCATGGAAAGGGAAGAAATCTGATTTGAAACTTCTATTTTTGGGCCTTCATAGTCATGCAGTTGGCTTTTCTTATCAGGTTATATTTATCCTTTTTCATCAGTTTTTCCTTTCCTTTTGAAGGGTCTCATTCTTAAGTTTAATCTGAAACCAAAAAATGGGCCGGGCACAACATTCCTTTCCTATAGCTTGAGTTTCATTTTCAGTTTTAACATATAACATCCTTTAGTTTAAGATGAATTTCAATATTGTCCTTCCGTCTATAGATCCACTAGGAATCCTGATGGGAAATGAGCATGTGCATGTCATGTGTGCTTTAGGAGGGAAAATTTGTCATTTTTACTAATATGAAGAACTGCTTTCCTATTTCCCACTTCTCCATTCGATAACAACCTAATGGAACCCCGTAACTAGTGAAAGGTAAGCAGTTGGGGATCCAAACAATGTTGGGCTTCTCTTGAGATTAAGATGAGGCAGCAAGCAATTTTGCCCTCTTGCCCGCTGAAGGCATCTAAGAAACACAGATAAAGCATTAGGTATAAAGCAGGGGAGAGAGATGCACTTTCAATAGCGACGATTGCAACTTGAGAACCACCATCACTAACAGTATCACCAACATGAATTCCATGATCTTGCACAAAGTCCAAAATTGCAGCACTTGAGCAAGAATGGCATATCACTCTTTAGGCTCCTTATTACCAGGTCCTGAAATCTCTTTGTTGAAAGCACCATTCCCTGATATAAAGAATTACATAAAATTGAATGAAACTAAAGGGATCGCCATATTAAAATTGAGAAATTGGCCTTCCACATTATAGTACCATAAATGTCACTGGTCAGCAATGATACATAGCTTTATGCAGCTTGAGCCTGCTCACTCTGGAACAATCCCCACAAATGTCCTGCGATTTCAAATAGCAAGCGAGGGTAAGCTCTCTCCAATGTGCACAAGCACTCACATGCCACTGCACTGGTTTGCCAGTCATACTTGTGGTTATAGTGAAGCAATTCACCATCAATTCTGAGGGTAATGGAAACAGAGATAATGGAGATCATCACATGCTCTTTCAGACAATATGTCATGGAGACCCTGTCAATCAAAGCTTGGGTTAGGCATTTTGGCCATGTTTGTTTGGGCGGACTGGATTAGTATTCCCATGACTAATAGTCCTAGGACTACGAATCCGTTGGATTATGTATCCTATCTTAACTAATAGTCAAGTTTAAAATAATTAATCCCTACTTCAATTGTTTAACCAAACATCGGATTAATAATTTTATTGGACTATTAGTCCAATCCCAAGCTCATGTCCACCCAAACAAACATGGCCGAAGGGTTTTGATGATGTCTGTCAGGATTCATTTGGTGGCTTCAAGTTAAAACTCATGATGACTGTGACTGAGAGTGCATTGGTGAATAAACCTTCAAGGGATGGGGTGGATAGAGATGCTTCTTACAGAAGCACGGACACGTTGACACGACAAGTTTCAAAAAAAGGACACAACACGTAAGGGACATGCACAAAACATATAAATTTATATATATGAACATATCATTTAAAGATAATAAAAAAATACAATATAAGTCTAATTCTTATTTGCATTGTTTTTTCTTTTAGCATTGTATTCTAAGGGTTTTTTTTTTTTTTAATTTCATATATGTCTAAGCAATGGACACCCGTGTCCTCCAGGTATCGTCCGAGTCTAAAAAAATTATTAAAAAATAGGACCACTATGGACGAGTGTTGAACATGTGCTGGGAAGTGTCCGACAAGTGTTGGTATTTGACACGGACACGTCATCTTCTTTGAAGTGTCTATGCTTCATAGCACGTGCAAGGGTCAGTTAAAGGAATCAATGAAAAATTTTGTGTGATAATACATATGTATTAAATTTTTCTCAAAGTTGATTTGGTTAGTTGATCCCACCGACCACCATGTAGCTTCGCCCTTGGTGATGTGGATGTGGTCATTTTCTGTCGAGATTCCTAATGGATCCAAAGGGAGAACACATTGAAACTTGCCTCGTACTATATAGGATTTTATATATTGAAATTGGCAATGTGGAAACCAAAGTAAAATCTCGCTCAAACTATAGTGACTATCAATGTAATTTACCATATTATATGGCATTGCCTTGCATCACTGTTTGGGCAAGTTAGTATGATTTTTCATTGAGTTAGCATTCATAGTGGATTGGTCTTTTGTGGTTTTAAATTTTAACCGGTCTTTTTTGTAATATGTAGCTTCTTTTTTTTCTTTCCTAGAGTGTTTGTGTGTGTGTGTGTGTTTGTAAGAAGTCTTTACGTGAACAAACTTGTTAGATTATATGAAGCAATAAACTTTCATTTATTAGTTGATTATTTTGGCTATGGCTCTTGTGCCTTCAAAATGATTCAAGATACAAAATAAAATGATCTCATTTCAATGTGAAATCCAAACACCTCTGTAGTAAAGTTTTTCCTTTGAAATCCAAACACCTCGCATTGGAGTATAGTTGGTGCCAATGTGACATATTTTCTCTATGTTTTCTTATATTTGTATGTTAAACATGAAACAGGATGGCGGCTTGACTACTTCCTTGTCTCAAGATCCATAGCAGACAATGTTCATGACTCTTACATTCTTCCAGATGTTACTGGCAGTGATCATAGTCCTATTGGCCTTGTTCTCAAGATCTAACTTTTGCAACATTATTAGGGTTATCCTCTTGAGGAAGGAAATTTTTTTGATGGAGGTGGAGGCAGAATCCTAATGAAGTCCATTTGCAGGTGTTGATCGAGTTACCAGGCACATACTAGCAGAATTCTGATTTAGTTAGCTGTGTTGGTCTTAGTTTTTGCCGAAGTAATATCATCAGAAGACGAGGACCTTGCAATTGGAAATCTAGGTGCCGGCAGAAATTATGATGATGCATTTTGAAATTCAGAATTGCGTTAGAATGTTGCATAGTGGGTTTATTCTGATCTTGATGATGCACTGTTGCTACTACTTATGAACAGGCTAATCGCATTTTGGACACTTAGGTTTTTTGCAGAAAGCTCCTGTGTGGTATCATCCTACACTGTAAGTCCTGTACAAACTGTTTTGATCTCCCAGGAATTCACTCTATTTTGGGCTGTAATGGTATTGATGCATGCATGAAGCATTTAGTGAATAGATTTTCTATGTTGTGAACGCATTTTGTTTGGTTATCGGGAGACAGACATTTTGGACTTAACATTAATGCCCTTTTATTAGCAGAGACTGCTTCAACTCAAGAGGGCTTCATAGGTAAAAACAAAGCTACTATCAGGGGCGGAGGGAGCATGTGACCAGGGGGCGCGTGCCCCCCTCTGGATTTTGGGATTTTTTTTTTTTTTTTGCAAGTTTTGTTTGTTTTTTTTTTTTTTTGCAAACATAAAAAAAAATTTTAAAAAATATTATTAGAGTGAAATGTCAATAACATTTTAAAAATTATGAAAATAATAACGGTTGTTTTGATTGAAAATGAAGAGATTATTATAAATAAATCATATTAGTTATGAAATTTTTTGAATGTAACGACGATGCCATTATTAGTGATATGCAAGTATAAGTAATTTTACTATAAAGATATGAAATTTATTAGATTGTTAGTTACATTTGACATGTGAGGCTCACTCTTTATGCTACATACCAATGATGACGTGGTATTACTATTATATTGAATTTTTAATCAAATTTTGTATCAAAAAATAATTTATCATTATATAATTTATTTTAAGGCTTATATCCATATTACATCCATATTTTGTTTTGTATTATCCATGATACACTAGTTACAAATATTATATAATATATATTTTATGTTTCTTGAAATCAATCGTAAAAAATTTACATAAAATATTTTTGTAAAAATTATTATAATTAATAAGTGTATCCTCTAAATTAATTTTCTGGCTCCGCCACTTGCTACTATTGACCCATTTTTGTACAAAAATTTTTTCACTACACTAGGAAGAAGATGGAACAAACAATTGATCTTTGGCTTTTGTGGTTGAGGCTTAATGCGTGGAAAGTGTTTGGAAATATGTAAAAATATGCAAAAAAAATATCTTGGAATTTACCAAAATTTAGCATTTCCTTCACCTTAATGATAATGTATGGGTTCTGTTACGTTTCATGAAAATTGTCATGAAAATCATCTGCACCGTTGGATCATGAGACACATACCTGATCTAACGGTGCAGATGGTTTTCATGACAGTTTTCATGAAAATTTTTCATGACACCTAGCATTTCCCATAATGTATTGGCCAGTAATCTATTGGGCAATCATTGGTATGATTTTTTATTTTTTGAATTTGTTTTATGAAACTTTAGCATCATAACAGCCAGTTTTATATTGTAGCATGACTTCAAGAAATAAAAACCTTTATTTGAAGCATTTTTTATTTATTTATTTTTTCAATCCTTATCTTTACATTTTAATTGTTCCCTTTCTAAAAAACGAAGGTTTACATTTGGGAAAATGATTGGTGGCCCTAAAAAATTTACCCCTAATGCCCCTAATTTCCAATTTTGGAAACTGTTTTCTTTTTTTCTTTCTTTTTTCCTTTTTTTTTTTTTTTTTTTTACCTGAAATGGAAATTAGGGGCATTCGAGCCCCACTATTTCGGGCCCTCAATCACGGTTGTTACATTTGAGTTGGACCCATAAATTTGAAGGTTTTATACACTCTTTATAAAAGCCTCCAATTAAAAATGAATATTTTTTAGAAATTCCCATTAAAATAAATATTTTTTTTCATATAAAATAAATAAATATGCTTTTTACCAATCTATTCTTTTTGGAAAACATATACTAAGGCTAAGTTTGGGTACTCCCAAAAAAGCCAAAAAGTCAAAAAGTTACTCAAAAAGTTAAAAAGTTAACACTATTCACCAAAAGTCAACAATTACGGCTGCACAACTCTCAATTCAAATTTTTTCCTACAAATCAATTTTTACACTTTTTTATTACACATTTTTCAATAAAAAGTCAAAAAGTTAACCAAAACATCCATATTTTCAACCTCAATTTTTTAGTTCAAAAAGACAAAAAGTGCACTTATTTAGTCTTCCCAAACTTGGCCTAACATATGAGATGACAATAATATGATGGAGTCCAGCATAATTTGGGTCAAAGGGCTTTCGATCTAGCTTGCCTTGCAAGTGATGATGGCATCATTAGAACACCCATTACTAGCTGAAGCGCATGCATGTTTGGATGCACTCCGATGGGTTGTACAACAAGGAATGAAACATATAAATGTGTACACAGACTGCCCAAAACATATAAACATATAAATGTGTACATAAACATATAAACATATAAATGTATGTTGTGGCAAATGTTACTTATTTTTTTGGTAAGTTGCAACAATTTGTGATTCATAAATGAAATTTCGCATTTTGTAATAATGTTACACATTTTTATCCAAACATTTTCTAACCATAAAATACATAACATTATCATAAAAATACGTAATATTATCACAAAATACGTAACTTTATTTTTGAATCACAAATTATTGTAACTCTACAAAGAAAAATATGAAATATTTATTACAAAAAACATGCACCACAAAAATACATAATAAGGATAGCATTACCCAAAATATCACTGGCTTAGTAATTTATTTGACTTTTGCCACATCAGCATATTTATTACAAAAATACAATATATATCAAAAAAATACATAATAAGTGTAGAATTGCTCAAAATATTACTGGCTTTCTAATTTATTAGGAAATTCTACCTACACCACCAATTTAACTCCTTACACCCTTAAAATTTAATAATTATTTTTATTTTTTAATTTTTAATTTTTATAATTTCTTTATTACTGTCATCCCTAACATTTCTCTTTACACCCATAACCTAAAAAACCTACCACCATCACCTCCAACCACCATCCTTCTAACCCAAACGGTTAGATCAATCATCATCTTCATTGTTCCCTTCAAATTCGAACTCCAATGACTTCATTCCAACTTTATAAATTCAATACACACACAAAAGTCTTAAAGTTTGCCTGAACTTCGCTTCTAATATTTTCCCTGAAAAACACAAAGGCTCCATCTTAAAGCCCAAACCTTAAATACCCATTAAGAATAGCAGTCCAAGAAACAACATTTCGTTCCGACATTTATCAAACAACTTACGCACCTCAACTAAGGCCAAGTTTGGAAATATTAAATAAGTGCATTTTTTGACTTTTTATGAAATATGGGTTGGATTTGGGTTGAGTTTGAAGTGATGTGTTAGAGAGGTGATGTGACTTAAATAAGATGATGTGACTTAAATAGGATAGTGACTTTTTGACTTTTTAAATTTTTTTGAAGATGCCAAACTTGGAGTAAATCTCCGATTCTCGCATAGGCACTAATCAAATTGTTTTCCACAAATATGACTGAGCTCCAACACCTTATAACAATTATATGTAACTTTCTAACTTCTTTAATGTTATAACGCAATTGAAGTCGGGAAGCAAGCAAATCAGAATCAACCAATTGATTGATCAAATCATTAGGGAAATTGGGTTGTGGGTATTCTTGGGAGCTTGAAACATTGGACAAATAGTTTTTTTTTTTTTTTTTAATTCAAAAAAATGGATATGCAGATAGGCTACTCCAACATATCCATCAGGGAGTATTGCCCTTTAGCATCTACAGCATATCTGTAGGGAATCCCACCGCACCTACATCGGGGCCGAAACTTAGGCCCCCATTCAAGAAAATAGATATGCAGATAGGCTACTCCAACATATCCGCCAGCGAGTATTGCCCCATAGCACCTACAACATATCTGCGGGGAACCTCACCGCATCTACATCGGGGCCGAAGCTTAGGCCCCCGCGTGCTCCAAGCGCTAAGGAGTATGTTTAACCCCAACAAGGGGCTATGGAAATTCGAACCCAAGCCTTAAGCGAGGGATTCCAAGGTCTTATCACGGAATCAACCCCCTTGTTGGTGACAAATAGGTTGTTAATGGAGGATTTTTGGAAGAAAAAGAAGGAAGATTTTGGAGGTAATCATGGTGAGAACTATTTGGCACTGTTATTTTAAAGTTTCTTGTGCGGTTTGGTGATTTGGGTGGTTGAATATCAGGAAGGGAAGTTGGGTGAAACAGTATTTTGCGATAATACGAAACAGAGTAATTTGGCGTTGGTTCAATTTGAGTGGCTGATTCTTCATCTCTGCAGCTGTTGGAGATGGGGGTTGGAATGAATGGTGTTGGGGAGGCTGCGGGTTGATTTTTTTAAATTTATCTAGTTTTAAACGAATGGCGGATTTGAGATTTTTTTGCCCGTAACAGAATTGTCAAACCGCGAGCATTCTTAATAATTTGTAAAACTTTGTATTTTTAATTTGTTTAGATATTTTATTTGTATTTTAAATTAAAAAAAATTAAAATATTCTGTTGAATATATTCCATTGAAAAAGAATTTTCAACTTGAATATTTTTTTGAATTGAAAAAAATAAATGCATTATTTATCTATATATATATTTTTAAATCTAACTCTAAAAATAATAAATAAAAAAGATGATATATGCTGGTTGATTTTTATTTTCAAAAATAAATATAGATGTAACAATACAGAAGCATATAATCTCTACTACTGCTATGTTCATGGTTTTGGTGATTTAAATTATTTTTATATTTTAAGAAGGGAAAATTGGCCTAAGGTCCCTCCTCTACTTTTGATAGGAGAGCTCCAAAATAATATGTTTTGATGGCTAAGGTCCCTCAAATTTATTTTAGGTTGTAAAGTACCTAAATTACCTTTTTTTTATAACATAAATTTGTTTGAATATTATATTGTTGACTTCACGGTGAGATTTTGGAAACCGAATTCGCAGTGGAGATTTTGTCGGAGATTGCAGTGGAGTTGACGAGAAATTTGTTTGAATATTATATTGTTGACTTCACGGTGAGATTTTGGAAACCGAATTCGCAGTGGAGATTTTGTCGGAGATTGCAGTGGAGTTGACGAGAAATTTGTTTGAATATTATATTGTTGACTTCACGGTGAGATTTTGGAAACCGAATTCGCAGTGGAGATTTTGTCGGAGATTGCAGTGGAGTTGACGAGAAATTTGTTTGAATATTATATTGTTGACTTCACGGTGAGATTTTGGAAACCGAATTCGCAGTGGAGATTTTGTCGGAGATTGC